GCAGCCTGCACATGCAGCCCTAAACCAGAGAAGGCAGATTTTACTCATTTCCTCTGTGGTCGCAGAGTTTTGTCGTGAACTCGCCTCCATCTGACCTTTCCCCCAGATGTTAAGGCCTTCAAAGCCAACGTGGATAAACATCAGTAGCCAAAGCCCTTCGCCATTGCTGCACAAATTAATGCCAGGCGATCAATGAGGGATTTACAATGTCAAGCTCCTAAATCTTTCTCCTGATTCCCATTAACAGGCTTGATGGCAACAGCCGGAGCATGAACGGTGACGTCAGAACACACACGCACACACACACACACACACACACACACACACACACACACACGCAAACAGACGCACGCGTTGTCTTTTGGGTCAATTTGTCGGTTCAGTGATGGTGGTGCTGCTGAAACTATTGTGTGAAATTCACCAGTGAGTTGTTGTTGTTGTTGTTGTTGTTAATAATGATAATTATAATAGATACGGACATGAAACATAGCAAAAGTAGTTTATTGTAAACAAATTAAAGTTTTAATGACGCACCAGTGAATGCATCTTTTTTTTAATTTCATTTTTGTACAAATAGATTGTTTAAAGAAAGACGACATGACAGCTCCCCAAAAGTGAAGCCATATATTCTTGATCACCCCCTGGTGGCTGGCAGCAGGTTATAAACCTCACCTCCTCCTTGTTAGCAGATGGAACCTGGAACAAAAAAGAGTCAAAGTACATTTGAAATAGATTTTCTGACCATTTGGCTCAGTACCATAAACACTGTGGGCTTCATTCTTGGGCGGCAGTGAAAATGCATTGACCATCTTTATATACAGTCTGAATTTGTATACTTTGCATTTCATTCCGCAGACAGTACACTTCTTACTTCATAAACTTTCAACAGCAGTGTCTGCTTTATTCCGCCATTTTTATCAGTGTGACATCAGCAGAGATGTATTTGAATAGTCTGCATTGCAAGACGTCTCAATAAAATCTGAAACCTACTGCAGGCGTTTGTCAAACTATTATGAAATAAAAGGAACCAGCGAAATTCATCCCTGCTCCTACTTTTTCCACCACCTGGCTCAACAACACAGGGGTGATTGAATCACATCCAGATGATAAATCATCCAGATGATTTATCTCTGAGTCCAGCTCAGAGATAAATCAGCTAGGACACGTAGGTTTGCTTTTGAAGAAAGTTGTAGTAGAAGAAAAGGTATTTCCTGGAGTTGAGACTCATGTGGAAGTGTTTGTGCAGCACAAGGCGACACTGCCATTTCCAGATGGATAACTCCCACAGACAGAGAAGAGAGCAAGGTCAGGGAGGACCACCAGAAATAATTAGTAAAAAAATCAAATTTTTATTGTACTGTTATGACATTCCATTAAACTTTGAAATGCACCAAATCTTGAAGGAGAACTTGACCTTAAACTTTGGATATTTCGCAAGATTTTATTTGCGCAACAGAACTACGTAATTTCTTCACATCACATTCTTGAACATTTTGTGAAAATGTAAGTTTAGTGTGAACGATTCTCACATGTGTTCCTCCCTTATTAGCATTTTCTAAAGCCAAATCTCTTTGGGTCATGGCAAAGTTCAAGACTTTGAGCAGAATAACTTGTGCCAGGAACACTCAACAGCTCATCCGCTTTTCAAACGGGAAATCAAAGCCAATATGCATAATCTTACTTTTCACCATGGAATCAGTCTCGGTCCACTAATGAACAAAATCTCAATCTTAAGAACAAGATTACGACATTTCACGGATACTTCATTTGTGTTTACGCCACCTCGCTGCCAAAGACCCGATCAACTCACTGAGCCTCTTTTTCATCGTGGTCCAAACAAGTTTCAATAAATAAATATATTTTCCTTGAGGTTTGTCTTGAATAATTTATTAGACAAACTCTAAAAAGCTCATTCATCTCTTCCATTATTTAGATTGAACGTTGCTTCAGGTTATTGTGTCACGGCTGAAAGATCAGCGAACGCCAAAGAACTTTCACATGTGCAGTATTTCTCCTGCAGGGCCACTTTATCTCTCAGGCTCCTGTTGAGCTCCTGGTTTTCAGATCAGGGACAGGTACTGAGGTCTCCTGAGGAAAACTGGGTCACTTCCCCAGACATGGCATCACCATAAAAGCTGTGCTCTGACTTTTGGATCTTTTCAATTGTGTTATTTTGTCTGTTTCTTAATTTGAAACATTTCTATCTGCATGTCTTACAGGCTGTGATACTTGAAGTCACCTTGCAGACGCTCCTTTGGCACAAGTCTCCATCCATAACAACCATAAACACGAGTCCCCCTCCTCTTTCTCCGAGGCGTTCCTGTCTGTATTACCATATCTGAACCTTTGCTAGGCTTCAGGCTCCAGTGCTTTCCAACTCTCTTTGCCAAAGCTTGCAGCTCTCTGCACCACCGTGTCCTTCTATGGCAAATACAAGGGATGAAAGCAGAGTGGGCCTTTAAAGATTCTCTGACATCACTGAAATAGCCCGCTCACCCAGCTCCTCCATCAGTGGTGCTTTCTGGTCCCCTGGTGGCTGCAAAATGCAAACACATCATACAGATGTTTCCAGTTTTATTTTCAGGCCAAGTCATAAAAACTGAGGAGCCGCGTTGAACGCTCTTTCAAAGCAGGCTTAGCTGCATAACTCCAGCTGAACCCTGTGTTATCAAGTGCTCCAGTGATTTATTATTGAGCTTTCAAAAAATCAGAGGACCCAGAAAAGACATAAAAAATAATAATCATGACTGATGCAGCAGAGAAGAAAAGCTGACTGGTGGTTACTAATATGTGTCAAGCTGTAAAAACATTGGATCGTACAGTTTCCACAATGCAACGTGATAGCACCTTTGGCTGACCTTCCCTGTCAGGGCCTGGCTCTTCACTCGTCCACATTATAACGTTAACAATACAACATGTCTGGATTTTTAGCTGAAGTCAGTTCTGATGCAAAACCTACAGAAGTGCAGCTCGACAGCTGGATGATTATTTTTAGGTTGAACACGTGAAATAATTTCCAGAGACAAATGGCTGCACTTTCTCAAAGGTGCAATGAGGTAATGTTGATGTGATGATTGTTCTCCATGAGAATTTAAGCAGATTATTAAGAGAATCATTATGAGCTGCTGCGGTAGTTAATCGTTCTAAAACATGATATCGTTTGCACAATAAGAAAGAAGAAACCGCATGAAGTTCTAACAACAACAAATAAACTGACCTCAAAGATTCTGACTGTTGAAAGAGAAATTCTTCAAGAACATTTTGCGTCTGAAGAGAAATCAACATGTCAATTTGGCAAAAAAAATAATTCCATCCAATATGCTGTACATCCATGTTGACATCCAGCAGCACCTTTTACATGTTCAATCTCCATTTCAACATTAAACTTGCAGATTAAATGTAGTTGTATTGTATATCTAATCCAAATAAAGTATCCTCACAACAACAGGTTTCAATAAGTTTCACCTGTGTTGTTGCAGTTTATTGTTAATATTGTTATATTTGTAATTTGGATTGTTGTTTTAAATGTTGTCTGATTTATGTGAATGCACCAA